GGTTTTTAACGAGGCAACGAAAGGTACACTTCAAGTCGAATTACACAAAGACGGAGGCACAGGACGGTCAGTTCATTGTTCGACCTCTCAAGCCTTCTCCAGATCAACCAATGAAGGTACTAGATAGACTGGGACTGGGACTGAAACACCAGCAAATGCCCAAAAATTTGTAAATTTCTCCAAGTGTATGAACAAAGCAACAATGCATGAAATTTATTTCTATTTCTCCAAGTGCACAACCAAGGCAACAATGCTTAAAGTTTATGATATCGACAAACTCCGCACCTAGAAGCATATCTTTTTAAATGTAGGTTATGTTCAACCTTGTTCGAACTAATACCTACCGGCCCTCGGCCACAATTAAACGTAGGTTATGTTCAACCTTGTTTGAACTAACACCTAGTGGCCCTCGATCATAATTAAATGTAGGTTATGTTCGACCTTTCTTGAACTAACACCTACCGGCCCTCGGCCACAATTAAATGTAAGTTATGTTCGACCTTGCTCGAACCAACACCTACTGTCCCTCGACCATAATTAAATGTAGGTTATGTTCGACCTTGCTCAAACTAACACCTACCGGCCCTCGGCCATAATTAAACGTAAGTTATGTTCGACCTTGTTCGAACTCACACCTAATGGCCCTCAGCCATAGTTAAACATGCGTTATATTCGACCTTGTTTGAACTAACACCTACTAATCCTCAACGATAATTAAACTTAGGATATGTTCGACCTTATTCGAACTGAGTGGTTACGGCTAGAAAATCAAGGCAACCAAGCGACGAAATCAACAAAAAACAATATATACAAGTACGAACCACATGAAGAAAATCATATGCAAATAAAAAAGTTGGCATTTCATACTTAGAACATCTTTACAAAAGCTCATGAAGACGCCACCAACTACACACAAAGATATACAGAAAAGACAAAAAAGAAAACTACTAGCCACCATCTTCATCACCTGCAACATCCTCGCCGACCTGGCCCTCAACTACGTCACCCTCTCGGCCTTCAACACCCTCGCCATCGCTGCCTTCGCCCTCAGGATATGCAGCATCATACCAGGCGTTTTGGTCAAGCCGGTCTACATCTTTATCCCCCTCGCCCTCGTCGGCCTCTGGCGTAGCAGGATCATACCTGAAAGCAACTCGAGCTTCATGAGCATCTTCAAGGGCGGCCCCAGAAATAGATCCCGCCGCATGCAAATATCATCAGACACATCTAACTGGGCCTCGGTATGAATCCACTCCTTGTATAATTCTCGAGGAACATCAGGAAAGTTTGAAGTATGAGAAGCGGACGGTCGCGCCAGTAATTGAACCTTCTCGGCCTCAAGGGCAGCAACTCGGTCGTAGAGGTCAGAATTCTCTTTATCCAATTCTCTGATCCTCTCATCGAGCCGCTCCTATTTTAACCTTGCCATTTCCAAGTCATTCTCCCGCTCAAAACAGAGGGTCCGGATCACCACCTCAAGGGCCTCCGTCTTCCTCAAAGCCCCCAATCGAGCTAACTCTGCCCTATCCAACTCATTTTGCTTCTCGGTGATGTCGCTGTGAAGAACCTCCATCTGGAGGCGACACTCATCTAATTGCTTGTGCAACTCGATCACCTGCGTTTGGAGGTCGCCGCACTGAACCTCTACGGCCCTACTTACCTCAAGCTCTTATTCTTTATTTCTCAACGTCCCCTCAATGACACTGCATTTCTTGAAGTCCTTCACTAGCTCGACATCCTTTTGCTTCACCTCGTCCCGAAGGGTCAGCAAATTGCTGCCTTCGCCAAAATACCTGCGGATTTCCCGATACTTGCCACGATACTTAAAGTATTTGCGCTGAAGTTTCCTGAAGATAGCCTTATGCCTCTCCTCCCTTCGGGCACTTTAGATTTCCAAGATCACGGCCTGCAATCACAAAAAGAAAGAGAGTCAAACACGAGAACGCCTATCCTGACGAGAACAAGGCACTAAAACGAAGACCAAAAATCTGAACAAAGCAGACAAGAAAAAGAAGCCTTGAAAAATTTACCCTGAGAGCGAGGTCAGCTGTGTTTTTTAACAGGTCATGGTCCACGGAGATCACGATGGTCCGCGTAGACCCCTCCAGTCTCACTTCAAGCTGAGTAAATCCCTCTTCCATCATCCTCAGCTCTACAGCGTCAAGGTTTGAGCCCGTCTCATAGCCATCCTCGACCACGCCTTTGTCTCTCCTATTAGCCGGCGAAGAAGCACCATCAGCCGATCACGAAGTCGAGGGCCCCTCTTGCTGCGAAGTATCAGAAACTCTTGCAGACAGCTCTTCGGCTTCCGTCGTTGTAGAAGGAAGGGATACGCCCTCTACGGCCTCAGTCGTTATCGGGACCTCAAACACCGGCTCAACGTCGTCTTCAAGTATTATGGCCGTTGTCTCGTGGATGGTAAAATCATCCATCACAAAATCTACGGCCCTGTCAAAACCCCGTCACCAACATCTACTGACTTTCTCTTGCGGGGCACCAAATTCCTATCGCTTGGCGATGATTCCTCCTCATCATCCACAAGACGGAATAAAGGTGTAGCCGGAAGCTCTGCTGTCAAAATATTTGCAGGCAGAGAAGAAACCGATGTTGAGGCAGCAGTAGATGGGGCCGAAGACCGAGCAGACCTAGCCGCGGTCGAGGAGGGAACAAAAACGGAAGAGCGAGTAGGCCTAACCACGGTCGCAGGGGGGATAGATGCCGACGAGGAGGCAACTTTCCTCTTACGGTATGCAGGAGGGGGAGCTTTCGGCCTCCTCGAAGATCCTCGGGCTGGAAAAGAAAGAATCGAAAAAGGTTATCACTATCAGCAAAGGCAAACTATAAGAAATAGGCGACTAAGAGGCCAAATCAAAAATAAAAAACAGACGAGCTCACCGGTCAAGGAAGGAGTAGGCCCAAACTTATTAAAAAAAACCCGGCCACTCGCGAATCCCCACCATGTGAGGGAGAACCTGGCCAACCAAATCAGAAATGTCCCCGATCAAAGGAGGGGGCGTAGTCTTGGCTGCATAAGAAAGGAACAAAAGTTCAAAACCCACGACTAGAACAAGCAAATCAAATGTTTCAACGAAGGAGGGTTAGACGCTTACGAGTATAATTCCATGTCTCAGGGAAGCCGTCTACGTTAGCCACCACATCCTCGGTTCTGACCTTATCATCCATCTTTACCACCAGGCACTTGCTCCCTCAATAGAAAAGGTTTAACATTGCCCCATATAGAAACTAGGGGCGAAGAGATGCATCAAATATTGAAGGGTGACCTCGACCCCGTCCAATTTCGCGAACTTAGTAAACATCCTAATGAGCTTGTATATATATGGCACGAGCTGCGCTGGACAAACGCTGTAGAAATGGCAGAACTTCTATGCCAATGGGAGAAGGGGAAACATGTAGACAACATGAAAGGGGTAGGCGTAGAACGCACAATACCCAGGGCGGTGGACTTGTACCACGTTCTGCCCTGCAGGGACCAACTCGACGTGAGCAGGAATATCATATTTAGCCCTAAGCTCTGAAAAATTGACCTTTTTCATCGCCGACTTAGAGATCTCGGCCTCGGCCTCTAGAGCCTTCGTAAAGTCAGACCTGACTCTATCACCATGAGGAATTATCTCCTCCACAGTGGAAAAGTTCTCATCCTCCACAGCCACAGAGACGCCCTCCACGTGAGGAGGCAAAACCATCGCCAGGGGAGCCGAGTCATTTTTCTCAGTGGAACCAGAAGATACTTTAACCATAGTTCTGAAGAAATAGAGGGTATTCGAATAACGAAAAGTTAAATGCAAAGAGGATCTCTAGAGCAAGGAAGGAGGATACACAATTATGGAATAAGAAGAAAGAGGCGCTAGGTTTCGATATGGGAAATCTGTAAAACACGAGTGTTTGCCCTCACATCCCTATTTATAAGAATTCAGGCATCAAAACCAAGAAATTATGCCATCATTACCTAGCACAAATATCGAAGCGGTAGATCCAATCAACAGACGCACGCGAAACGACATAAAGCATCGAAAAATGCACCGTAATGACGCATGATATCATGACATCACTTCGATCTAGAAACGACGCAACCCCAAAAGTTGCGGCTCACGAAAGGCCACGTCGCCATCTCGTCCCATCTTCTCGACCACGACAAACATAATTCGCTCATCAAGGACGTCTGAGGCCGGCCTCAATAAGCGGAGGGACTAACTATATAGGTCAAAATCTGCCGTAAAATATTTAGGGCAATATAGCACTAAGGAATGGGTCAGTCGAGGTCGACCAAGAAGCAACGAGGTTTGTGGTCGAGATGTCAACAACGGCCGAGATCGAACACCATTAGCAGAGTCGTAACGACTAGTTTTCAAAATGAGATATTAAAGAAAATATTCTAGTGGATATTCTCTGCACTTGTATTATTTGGTTGTGTTAGGGTTATGTCTCATATATATAGAAAAAGAGGCATGTGACATTCATTTTGATAAGAACAAACTTTTGAGAAAAGATTTTCTCTCTTATAGAAAGGTACAAACATTATCTTTCCATTAAGATTCTTGTTCATATTATTCTACACCTTTCCATCAGATCCAAGAATAATTCGAACATTCTTGGATTTGTCTATCACTCATCATTGTCAGGAGAGACGATCATCTTGTTCATCCTTTATTGGGTGAACCACTTCTCCTATTTACTTAAATGCCATTTATTGTTATTTATTGTTAGTTCTTCTTCCATTATCGCTCACACTTTTTAGAATAATTAATGTATGTTGTAGTCAACTCACTACCAAATCTGTCTAACATTATTCACGTTTTCGGAACTAACATCTAGAGATATTATTTTTAACTAAGTTTAGCCCATTATTATATAAACTCAACTGTTTTAGCTAAAAGTTATATTTTTTGGTCAAACAAAAGCAACATTACGAGTCCAACAATGTTATTTAAGCTGTATATAACACATTAAGAAAACAGTTCTACAAACTTCAAGTGGAAAGTAGTTCTTGCCTCTTCTAAGATCACTTATGTCATTCTTTGCTGCTCAGGAAGTAGTTCCACTGTTATTTTGAACAATCGCATCGCAAGAATACGCGATCTTTTTCTACTTAGATCTTGATCAGAGATTCCATGAATTCTATTAAACTATTCAAGGAGTTATGTGATGAGCCACCATCTTGAAAAGACATCTGGAGTTGTTGTTTCATTTCAAGTACTCTTTGCCTCAATTCTATGCCTTCTTCTTCCACCATAAGTTTTCTTATTGTACTTTCTATGACACATCTAGTCAAATCATCATGCCTTATTTCAAGGCCTACTTTCCATACATGCGTTATGTATCTTGCATTCACATTCTGATCACCAAAACATGGCCTGCAAATCATGGGAACCCCTTCAACAATACTTTCTAATGTCGAATTCCAACCACAATGACTCCAAAATCCTCCGACTGCAGGATGTGCCAAAACTTCTTTTTGTGGTGCCCATTTTACTATACGACCTCGATCTCCAACTGCTTCCAAGTAGCCATTAGGTAAGTCATGTTCAATCGACGTTGAACCATCCGTAGAACTTGGCCTAACTACCCATAAGAATGGTTGGTTACTATTGAACAATCCCCAAGCTGTCTCAATGAACTCCTTTTTATCCATAACAACTATACTCCCCAGGCTTACATAAAGAACAGAGTTAGTGGCTTGAGTAT